CCCTCGGCCTATCTGCGCGCAAATGACCTCACCCCCACCGCTCTGCCGCTCGCCTCATCTCCGCACAACCCACGCAAGCGCGCCCGTCCGGACCCACCACCCCCTCATCCGCTGCCCATCTTCGAGTACGACTACTCGCAATATCACCGCCCACAATACGTCCACGCATTGCAACTGCACAACCCCGTCACCCTGCAACCGCAGTTCAACCCCGATGTCAAATGCCCGCCGCGAAAGGCCCCGCTCCATTACGCCCAAATCAACTTTGCCCCGCAGCATGCCTTTCCGTCCAATCACACCAATTTCGCTCCCACCGTTTCACACCCGACAAACCCCAACCCTCAGTCACATCAACAGCCACCGTGTCATCCCAATTTGCTTTCATCCACTACCCGTGCGCCGCGTCCGGAGACCATCGAGAAGCGACCACGCACCTCGGATCACTCCACCTCGCTTCGATACATGCCTACCAAACCTGGAGGGGGCCACTACGCCCTTCCGTGCGAAGACGACGCCGAGGGACACCTCATCTACAAACTTGGCGAAGGTTTAAACCCCAACACGGATTTTCCGCACGGTCGATACAAGATTCTTTCGGATTTGGGGGAGGGGACGTTTGGAAAGGTTGTGGAAGCCTGGGACCGAAGAGAAGGTAAGCGCGTCGCTATCAAAGTCGTCCGTAGCGTCACAAAATACCGCGAAGCTGCAAGACTCGAGATCAATGTCCTTCACCACCTCAACAAGCGCGACCTGCAAGGCTTTTATCACTGCGTCAAGTTGTACTCGTGGTTTGACTATCGATCGCACGTGTGCATGGTCTTCGAAAAGCTAGGTCCATCCCTGTACGAGCAATTGCGGCGCAACAAGTTTCAACCGTTCCCGCTGGACCAGGTCCGAGAATATGCGCTGCAGCTGTTGGAGAGCGTCCATTTCGTCCATAGTTTGACGTTGATACATACTGACCTCAAGCCGGAGAATATCTTGCTTGTCGACTCCAAGCAGCAATCGAACGCGATTAAGCTTATTGACTTCGGGAGCGCGACTTTTGAAACGCATCATCATTCGACTATTATTTCTACGCGACATTATCGAGCGCCCGAAGTCATACTCGGCCTGGGATGGACGTATCCGTGCGATTTGTGGAGCATCGGCTGTATTCTCGTGGAACTCTACACGGGCAAAGCATTGTTTCAAACGCACGAAAATTTGGAGCATCTTGCGATGATGAGCGGCGTGCTCGGACCGATTCCTGACTCGATGGTGCTGCGAGCGGGCGGGTCGAGCAAAAAATATTTTAGCCGGATGTCGGGAGGTCGCAAAGCGTTGAACTGGCCGGATGGGGCGTCATCCAAGGAATCGTTGCGTGTGGTTCGAAGCGTGCAAGCACTGAAGGATATCAGTCGATGCCCAGGGCACGCCAACTTTTTTGACCTCGTGGAACGCCTGCTTGCGTTTGAGCCCGACACGCGCTGTACCTCTGCCGAGGCGTTGAAGCACCCTTTTTTTCGCGAGTCATCACATGAGTCTGATCCACCAATGACTACCCCGACGCTATCAAGTGGTAGCTCCGGCTGTGGGTCGAATGCCGGTATTATTATGCGAGGACGATATAGGCCCACGGTTCGAAAAAAACCAGCCACACAGAAGCCTAAGTCTTCGCGTGGCAGCAAACGTCGGTTAGACCGCGGCAAGCATGAGGAAGATGAAGGCGACGATACCACAACGGAGATTGCGCCCATGGGTTCCTCTGCTCCTTGGATGTAGGAATGAAGATGACACTAGTGTAGCACGCGCGGCGTCAACTGTTCGCAGTGCAGAATGGACTTTGAATTCCTTGCTTTGAATAACTTTTATCTAGATTGCGGTTCGAGTGACGCATACTACGTTTATTCTTTTGTTTAACTTAACTCTTTACTAAAAATGGCGTGATTGAATCACCCGACCTGGTTATCAGCATATGATAGTGGAAGCTTTTCGTAGAATGCTACCAGTTGATTGTGTATCCACGGGCGGAATGATGCCTTCCGCATTTTTGAAGCGTGCTGAAATCGTCCTGCTCGTCGCTTGATGCTGTGGTGTGTCCATATATAACAGATGCTTTATGGTCAAGATTCGTCGTTCTGGCACAACACTTACCCTTGAAGGGTAGTTGCGGGACAAGTTTGAGCTCTGGCGATTCGGTGCACTGCGATACGGGAGCAACGGTTGGCCCTACAGTATGAGGCTGAAAAAAAAAACAGGTCCTGAAGTACACCACAAATGAATTTTAGTTGGGAAATATCACGATTTCAGTTATATGTAATGGTCCAGAGCCGATCGGCGGACCGTCAGCATTGGTACACGTGTCGCGCGGGACGTTGATGCAGAGAGCAGCGATTGAGTCGGAGGCCATTTGCAAGTGCTCGGCACTTGTACTCGGCCTCTCAGGCTGAGAGCACAAGTGTGCTTGGCCTATCAGGCTGATCTCTGCTCTCAAGAGCAAAAGTCTCTCGAGCGGCCCATGACTGTAGAGAAGAGGACTGCATAGAAAAGGTAGACCGTCAATTCGGGAAAGCAGGATTTATTTTTTCACTCTTGTCGTAGCCTTGCCCCGAAGCTCGTCACAATTCTATCTTTGCGGATCGCCGTGCCGTGCCTACATGGCAGCTGTTTACTTTCGAAGCAAACCGCAAGGAACACAAAGACTCGTTGAAGCTCTCCGACGCGTGAGAAACGTTGACGAACATCAGAGTCTTGCAATCTCCGCCGAGCGAGTCCTGCAGCAGATGCGTCAGTTTTGAGTTTCTGAACGGGATGTGTTTGTCCTTGTTTGACAGAGACGCAATCACCTGTCCTAGAGACGTTAAGCTTTTGTTGATATTCCTAGTTTCCCTCAGCCGATCACCCTCCGCCTTACTCTGCTTGAGTCTCTCTGAACCTGCGAGGTCTACGAGGTTTAGGAGACCATTCAGTTTTTGTCCTGTACAGCCGTTCCTCCCCTCGATGTATAATCTGAAGACAGAGTGAGAGCGGGAACTTCTTTCATTTGCATGTGTTGCGGCCGTAGCCCGGTTCTTCATGGACTTCTCCACCAATCTTTGCACCTGTAGCTCGTTCTCCACGTCGATGATGGTCAAGCCACCAACAGAGGAAAGCTTGGTCTCAGGGTTGAATATGACTTTAAACTGTTCGTCTTTGCTCTTTGACTTATTAGAGCCCGAGTTGTCTACAAGAAGGTCTCGAATAGACTCGTTGTAGATCTCCAGGAACGAGGCTTTGAGTTTGAATGACCACTGATCCTTTTCCATCTCCTTCGCCGACTGGAAGACTTGGCGCACTGATCGAGGAACCATTCCCAGTTGCGCATCTCCAGCCCCCCTTTCGCCGAGCATCGTATGCGTCTTTCCAGAACCTGTCTGTCCGTATGCAAAGATGCACACGCGGTAACCATCTAACGCACTCTGTACAAGCTGTGATATCTCCTCAAACACGGACGCTTGATCGCTCTGCGGCCCAAACACTCGATCGAATTTGAACGGATACTCGGAAAGACTGCCCTTCGACTCATCAGATGGTGGCCTCGCAACCAACCCATGCCCTCTGTCCTTATATTCAAACATTTGTAGAGCTTTTGACGCGGTAGGGCACTCAAGTTCTTTTGGGAGAAGCGGTCGAACTCTACAAAACACACGAATGTTTCCTTTCAGTTCTTGTATCGCGTTGTGCAACTTTCGTCGCATAGCAGCGTCTTCGCGTGCTTGTGTTTCAAGGATTTCAATTGTGCTGCTTTGCTTTCTGTACTCCGCTCTCAAATTCGCGTAATCGTCTGTCTTTGTGCCTATCTCGGCGTGCAAAGACGTAATCTTAGTTTCAAGAGCGAGCTTTTCGCTGTTATACGTTGAAATGCTGCTCTCTTGGAGAGATAGCGCATCTCGAAGGCGCTGCAGTTCTTGTTTCTTGGTTTCTAGTTCTGAGTGCAAGCGAGAGCCGACCCCCTTCGACTCTTGCAAGTCTCTTTCTAGAGACTCGACACGTGAAGCGGCTTCTCTCTGCAACTCCGCAAATTTGCCCTCGGCGACTTGTCTGTCTGCGGCGTGGCCGCTTTTGAGAGACTCTGCCTCACGAGCCAGCTCCTCGTATTTCACGATTTGCTCCTGGAGTGAGTTTGCTTTCTTTCCGAGCTCCCTCTCAAAATCATCTCGCTCAGACTCAGCGCTTTCCTTTTCTCTTCGAATTCGGCGAATGTTGGCTTCCTGAGATGAAATTTCGGATTCTGCCACCTCTAGACGTCGTTGGAGCTCCTTGAGCTTTGCAATGAGTCTATTTGATTCGTCTTGCATACTTTCCTGTGCGTTCTTCTGCTCTTTGATTGCCATCTGCAACTTCCTCTTGTCCTCCTCAAGTGTTGACTTCAAACCATTTGCTTCTTCGAGATGCCTCTCCAGAGCTTCAAGTGTTCCTTTTGCTACTTGCACCCCGTCTTCAGATTCAGCTTTTCCGCGCTCGAGTGTCTGATATTTGGCTCGTAGTTCCTCCAACTCCTTCTCAAGAGCAGCGACCTTGTTTTTTTGTTGGTCGACAAAAAATTCTGATTGCTTTAGCTTCGAGTTCACCTCGAGCAGCTCACTCTTGGTCTCGAACTTACCCTCCATGAGTTCCATGACCTTTGCATCTCTGTCACTTTGCAGCGACTGTATTTGCTTCTGAAGCATCTCAATCGTCCCTCCCAACTCATCACAAATAGATTTGGGTATCTGTGTGGCTTCTTGATCAGAAGAGATGGAACTGAGCCCCGCGAGGAGCTTGTCGGTCTTCAATGAAATATCCCGAAGGCACTGTGTGTTAGCTGCTTGGCGCATGACCTCCTCCGAAGAAGGCTTGCGAACAGGTACGGTAGCTATCCGCCCTCTTGTAAAGTTCATAGAAGTCGTCGCTCGTCGGGTCATCGCACCGCTCTGATGTTCGGGTTGCGAGCCAATTTCTCTTCTGTTGTGTGGCGCACCAGCTACAATTCGTTTTGGCTTCGCTCTGCTGCGACTCGGAACTGGGGGTGTCGGCTTCTTAGGCGGGACGCCGGTCTGCGTGTGCCTCCTTGGGACCAGAGGAAGACGACTTGGCCTTTCGGAACGTTTGCTCGGGGCCTCGGAAGGCTTCTTGATAGTCGGTTTTGCGCTCAGAATTTGCTTTTGAGTCTGAGAGCTGCGTATGTCGACCTGCTTATTGGACACCTCGCTCAGCGGTTTCCTGATCTGGTCCATCTTGCCAAGGTTGTGCATTGACTTAGATGATGACACTGTCGTTTCGTCACAGAGACAAACAAACAGAAGTGTGGGTTCAACACCAGGACGCTGCGAGTGCTAGGAGAGAAGTGAAGATCACTGGAAATCGTTCAGCGTTGGGGAGGAAGGCACCAGATACTACGATTGGAACAAAGCTAGCCCAGTAGACCTGTAACGGAACGAAAATATAAGCCTCAGTTTTGTAAGAAACAGGAGAAGAGAACATGTAGCGGCGTGAGTTCGGGAGAGATTTTCCTTCTGAAGAGCCTGTTGGGGGACTTTGGCCCAGGTTAAAAATTGGGTCGATGAAAGTGGTCGGTTCCGATGGAAAATTGAAAATTTGAATTTGAAAATTCCCGCTTGAAACCCCAAGATCGTTGGGGACTCATACCCCCAAGCTCGCACGCAGATACAGCAGCTCTAATTCCATATACCACAGTGGTCTGAAGTCCGTACGGATGGCAGTCGTACAGGCTCCTACCCTTATAAAGTTCTCCCTTCTACACCGTCGCTGTGGTCTCAATACTATACACATCAGTTCTATCACGTGTTCGTGGCCTTAGTCAAGTATAGATTGTCTCGCTTCTGCAGTACCCTAAGGGTACTGTACTTAGAACGCGATGTACTGTGTCGAAGATGCCCTTGCTTCGTAGACTGTCACACGATATTCATCCAAGGTCTGCCGCAAGGCGACTCGTATCTGCTGTGGTACAGTATACTCATGTGATTTAATATACTGCATAGCAAAGCATTGCCAGAGCGTCGAAAAGTGTCGATATCAAGCGATAGATAAATCGCGATTGGATCCTCGACTCCCTATCGTTTCTTCTGAGGATGTGGTTCCCTGCGAGTATTCATTTAGTTGAGTGAATTGTGGAGGAAGGACGTCAATTAGACGCTGCTGAAAAGCATACGGCGTCTTCAAGAAGCAACAGTTTGCGTGCCATTGTAAACAAAAGTACTCATAGTCACACACGCAAAATGATCGATTGCGTGTAAAAAAAATAATGCCCTTCAATTTGATGGGGCGGTAGGCAAGTAAGAAAATGCTTGATAGCGCAGCTGCAAGAAAAACTCACAGAGATACGCAGATGTGCGCTTTCTGGGCTGTTCTTAGAGGAAAAGTCGGGGGCTCACCTACTATTAAAGGAAGGATAAACAAAATTGGAAAAGAGGCCGGAAGTAATCAACTTAAGAGATTATTTCGCACCGTGGACTGTCTTCATGTAATGAATCCCGGACTTCCATGCTTAAGAGTAGCGGCGTACTCTTGAAGATACATATTCTGTCAAGGATAATTCTACCAAGATGTTCTAAAACAAATAAAGAAAGCAACTATCCTTGGGTATATTTCGTTCAACCTTGGGCGTAGAACACACTTTTTGCAAGAAACTGCTCAGGCGGTTGGACACGACCGGAATCCGAGAGCCCACAACAAATTGTATCAAAGTTCATCATTGATAGTACCCAAACGTGCATCATTTCCTACCGTCTGCTTAGCACTTTTCCCTGAATCATTTCGTTGTGAGAACGAATTGAGTAACGAGGAGAAAAATGAGACTGTTCGTTATGTTTGTTATGCTTTTGCTTCAGTCATGTTGACTCACTGGCATGGTTTCGTGACTCATCTGCTGCATGTTTTTGTATCTGTGACATCCCGTTGCCGCTTGAGTGAAATGCATCTACCAAATTGGGTAATGCATTAATGAACCTCGACCGGATAGAGATGCCAACATACCGTGAAAGATGGCACGGCTCAGACACACTGTTCGATTGCCACAAACGCACAGGCGTGTTGGTGTTGGACCCGGCTCGTTGGCCCGTACTCTGGGACGGAAAGATGAGATACCTTCCCACGTGTTCCATGAAGATTGTTCGGGTGATCTTTCATCTTTGGGCCATTTTGCGTTTAGGGGGGCGATCAGGTGCATTTTTGAAGTGATCAAGAGGTGAAATAGACTTTTGTGTTGTAAATAGGTCCGAATTGTGCGCTTTTGTTGCAAGCGGAGAAAGCATTGCAGCCCTGTACTGAAGCAACATGAGCTGGTACAGCACATGGATGTCATTGCTGGATTCTAGTGATGTTAGCATGCTCGAAAATACCGAACTGTAGCCGAGTCCCGGTGTGGCACCAGGACTCGGCTACGGTTTGGTATTGCTGGCATTAGCACACCTCTATTTCACGTCAGGCCCCTCGATGCCTTGCTGGACGTGAATTCTGAAGGATCACTCCAAATGGCCTTCAAAACCTACTGTAAAGTTTACTCGAGGGCGACTTGACCGCCGCATCCGTACATTAGACCGGTCCCACGAACTTCCACGTGTCAATTTTTCTACTCTCTTTTGTCGTCGTCAGAGTCCACGGCTTTTGTGTCTCCTCTCAAACTGGTCTGACTGAAGCGTTAGAGTTCTTCAAATAGCGCCATTGTTTCAGACAAACAAACGACGTGTTAAGATCCGAACAGCGATTGTCACGACTACTCGAATAGCTGCGCGAATTCTAACGACGCATAATCATGCCGGCGGGATCCGAGAAGAAAGATGCCGCCGCCTCCAGGATCGCAGAGCTTGAGTCCTTCGGGCTCGATTCTCGACTTTCCTCCCGGGTTGCAGAAAGCGAGAAGACCTTTAAGGCTATGATATCGGCTTTCCATGAAGCCGGCATCACACCCGAGACCAATAACAAAGAGGCCAAGGCGGGCCTTCTATACACAGCGATTACCAAACTGGGCAACACGGTTGGCGCCAAAGGTCGTCACATGCTTTTTGCTTCCATTTCGGATGGCCGTGTAGGGGCAGCGCCGCACGTCGAGGCTGCTGCTGCGTGGCTCGTCTCGTTCTACCGGAAATTGGGAGACGGTGTCCCCAATGCTGTCGTCAAAATCGATGAGGAGAGGGTCACCATTGATCAATCAGAGTTTGAAGAGGCTGCTGGTGTTGGTGTCGTTGTCACCGAAGAGGAAATTACTGCAGCTGTGGACTCTGCGATTCAAGAGAACACACCTGCACTTGTTGAAAAGCGCTATCGGTTTAACACGGGCCTGATGCAGAGAGACATTATGAAAAACCTACGTTTTGCCGAGGGAAAAGCAGTCAGCGCATTGATTACAGAGAAAGTTGCAGCTTTGCTCGGGCCGAAGACGGAAGCGGACCTCGCCAAACCATAATGTCTCTCTGCATCAGGCCCGTGTTAAACCGAAAGCCGCAAAGGATCCTGAAATTGAGGAAGAGCGAGATCCTTTTGAAGGCATCCCCAGCAAATTCGAAGCCCGAGGTATGGCAAGTGCTGAGAACACCCCTGAGCTCATGGAAAAGTACCGTCAAGCAACTGGAGGGAAAATAATTTGCCGATTCCCACCAGAACCAAATGGACACTTGCATGTCGGACACGCAAAGGCTATGTTCATTGACTTTGGCTATGCAAAGAAAATGGGCGGAGAGTGCATTTTGCGCTTTGATGACACAAATCCAACCGTGGAGAAGACTGAATATATCGACGCCATAAAAGAGATGGTGAAGTGGTTGGGCCACGAACCGGCCAAGATCACATTCAGCTCGGATTATTTCGATCAATTGTATGATCTAGCTGTCGAATTGATCAAGCGCGGTAAAGCTTTTGTATGCCATCAGACGGGAGAAGAAATTTCTCGTGACCGCAAAGATGGAGTCGAGTCGCCTTATCGGAACCGCTCTGTGGAAGAGAACTTGAGGCTATTCACAGACATGCGAAAGGGAAAGTATGCGGAAGGCGAAGCAACTTTGCGTATGAAGATAGACATGAAATGCGCTAACCTGGTCATGCGTGATCCAGTAGCATATCGAATATTGCATTCCCCTCATCCTCACGTCGGAGACAAATGGTGCGTGTATCCTTCTTACGATTACACGCATTGTATTGTGGATTCACTGGAATGGGTTACACACTCACTTTGCACATTAGAGTTTGAAATTCGTCGCGACTCGTACTACTGGTTACTGGAGGCTCTGGATTTGTATCGGCCGTTCGTATGGGAATCGGCCCGTCTCAATTTGCAGTACACTGTGATGTCAAAGCGAAAGCTCAAACAGTTGGTGGAAAACAATATTGTAAGAGGGTGGGACGACCCCAGAATGCCAACACTTGTTGGGATGCGTCGCAGAGGGTACCCTCCAGCTGCTTTAAATCGATTTTGCTCTGCAGTTGGGATTTCGAGGGCAACCAACGTCATCGGGATGCACGTCCTGGAATATTGGGTACGAAGCGAATTAGACGCAAATGCAAAGCGTGTGCTGGCAGTTTTGAGACCGCTGCGACTAATCATTACCAATTTTAGAGGAGAGGAGAAAGTTACTGTTGCCAACCACCCGAAGAATGCTGGAATGGGAAGTCGGGAAATCAAATTGTCAAGGACGCTGTATATTGACGAGATGGATTTCAGAATGGAAGACAGTAAGGGTTACTACGGGTTGGCACCCGGGAAAACGGCGATGCTCCGTTACGCTTACCCTGTGAAAATTGTTAAGGTTGTGACAGGAGATAATGGGAAACCATGTGAATTAATGGGCGAGTTTGACTACCAAAAATGTAGCAAACCGAAAGGAGTTCTTCATTGGGTTGGGGAGGATAGCGTTGACTTTGAAGCGCGATTATACAGCACGCTATTCAAATCTGAAGACCCGTCGTCTCTGAACAACGAATGGCTTGAGGATCTCAATGAGGAAGGGGAGGTTGTGGTTGATGGGGCGAAAATTGAGTCTAGTGCAGTGTCGAGCGATGTTCGTACGACGTTCCAGTTTGAGCGTACTGGGTACTTCACTGTAGATAACGATTCCACTGCGAAAAAGCCTGTTTTCAATATGACAGTCTCGCTCCGGGATTCGAGGTAGACACGTGATATTGTAAAATGACCTGATGTCAGGTGCTGTCAACAGCATGCACTTCTTACCCTCTTTCACTCACATGCTAACAATGTCCTTTTGAGAGTAGAAGGCAAATTGGTCTCGTTCGGCAAATGTGGTCAGGTACAAATGCAACGCAGTAAGCAAGGTTGGGATTTTGCTAGTGTTGCATGTCTTTTGTTGACTCAAGGGAAGGCTTCAGGTGAGTGATTCATGCATCTTGTACGTTCCTCTCGAGAAGCGGAAGCGAGAGACAGGCCTGTACCAGAGGCATGGGGATGCTGGTGGATAGTACATATCTCTCGACTCAATTTCGAACGAATGTGACTTAATAGTGTGTATTTTGGAGTAGTTGGTGCGTACATTCACTCGACGATATCAGCTGGTCTCAGTCCTATCCGTGCATATGTACTCAACAAAAATAGCGGGGTTCGTCTGCATTCGGAGAAGTCGGTTGCTGACGCCATTCAACCTTCACAGGCATGCGCATCATGATAGCGCCCTGTTTTTGAAAGAACCATCTTAAAGCTAAGTTTCGTTTGGCATAACACCAGCTCTGGTGCCAGAGCTGCCAGCAGCTTGCCACGGAAACGTGCCGTGACAGTAGAAAGTCGAGTCAGTCGGACGAACAAGGGGTTGATGAAACAACACAGTTCATACACACAAGACCTACAGTACGCTCAGGGTCAACGGCGAGTACAGTAGCCCCGTCCAAGTGGCATTGGTGGCCCTCCAGCAATGTACAAATGGAGAAAATTAAGTTTTGATAAGACTTGGCATTCGAGAAAATGGACACGGATGTAAGCAGTAAATCTCGCCGCATTTCTGCCACTCCGTTGATAGTATCTATCAACTTGATACTGCCCCGCCTTCAAGAGCAAGACCCTGAATGGATTTTCTCTCTTTTTTTTTTTTTTTTTTTCGCGTGCCTCTGTGCGTTCCACCGACCTTTGATGTTTTTCCCCAAGAACGAGTCCTCAAGAAATTCGCAATAAGTAAGATGCGGCCAAGGTGCGCGCGGCAGGGAGTGAAGCTCCAAAAATTGCAGCCCATTCATAAAAATAAACATTTCTTGCCACATAACCCCGCGCCCCACATCGTTACTGTGCTGATGGGAGGCCCTTGTTTTCAACGGCCATGTAGTGGCCGCCCATTAAGATGTCCAAAGCAAACTGGTTTGCATCCCGGCATTTCGTGCTCTCGCAGTGGATTCGCCACGTACGAAAGAACGCTGACGTGGTGTACATGATTTGCCAGCCCCGTGATTGTTACGACCAAGACAGACCCTTTTCCACTGTCCGTACCCAAGGGTACTGTATAAATACAACCTCACTTCATCTTACCCCTGCACACTATATTCATATTCACTCCCACTCTCCCTCTTCCTTCACTCACCCGAATCAATCTACCATCCAATTCTTCCCAACACCCCCATCCACAATGAGTTTCTTCGAGAAGCAGATGAAGAAGGGCCTCCTCAAGGAAGCCGAAAAAGTCTGGGATCAGAACAAGGCCAAGTTTGGCGTCAATTCGAAGCAACCAGGCGGTCATGGTGCCCCGGGGTCAGCCGCTGCTCCAGGCGGATATCCTGCACCTCCACCGCCGACCGCACCGTACCCGTCCGACCAAATGCATCAGCCCTACCCAACAGCCTCTCACGTGCCTCCTCCGCCAACCGCACCGTACCCGTCCAACCAAATGCATCAACCCTATCCGACAGGCTCTCACGTGCCTCCTCCGCCGCAGGACCCTTATCCTACGGATCCGCAGGGATATAATCCCTATCCGACTAGCACTTATGGGCAGCAGGCGGGTGCAAATGGAGGCCATGGTCAGCAGCCGTATCCGAGCGGCGCGTCGTCACAACAATATCATGCGAGTGGTGCCGCACCGCACCACCATACAGGCGCCGATGGGATGCCGCAATCAGGGCCGGGCGCGTATCAGAAGCCTCATGGAGGGTATAGCTCGAATGCTGGGACTGCATCTGGAGGAGGAATGGGTGGCAAGATGGGAAAGTTTATGGCGAAGCTAGAGGAGAAGGCAAGAGACCCTGCGCTTCAGGCCAAGGCGGAGAAGTTGCTTAGATCTAAGGCGAAGAACTCTATGTATAAGCACTGATTTGGAGTTGAACGCACCAGAGCGTGTTGAAGATTTGTACAAGAATGGATGTCTACTTGTTCATCTCTCTCCAGAGGCGGCGTTTTACCCGTTTGTTGGGCGGAGTACATGACCCCACCGTTGTGTTTCCGAGCGCCACTGTAGAATGCTTAAACCCCACTAGCTTATCTTGACGCTACTAAAGATTAACTTATTTGGCACCCTTTACTCCAAGCATTATTAAAGATTGCATGTGCCCCCGTCTGTCTTTCCAAGAAATCGAATGCTAACTGAACTCAGATTACGGTCCACAAAGTACCGGAAAACAAAGTGAGAAATGGCAGCAATGCAAACGTAGTCTGGTGCCTGTCTTTCATTGCTGGACTCCAGACGGGGGGTTCCTTGCTCGGGCTATACAACTAAACTAAATAAGGTCCTGTTTAATTAGTGCTTGTGGCCTGTCATTGGTGTGAGGAAGGATCCAGTGTCGAAGAAGTAATGTCATGTTGGCAGTAAGGCACTCTTTTGTGTTTTTTGGCAATTCGGCCATACCAAGAGTAGAACCGTCATTTTCAGAAGGAATAGCATGGGGAATTTTGTCGTACTTCCAACAGCCAACGCACCTGCTTCCGGACACATCCTTCTCCAGTTGTTCGAACGAACCCATCTGCGCTCACCGGCTCAGTCACCCACCGTCCACCGACCCTGTTATCACAGCCCGGTATCCGTGTAGCCGAGAAGCACAACCGCATCCCGTAATGGCGTATGTTCGTAATGGGCGCGTCGTGCAGAACGCCAGCCGCGGGCCCTGGCCGCTCTGTCTAATTCCGGGCTTCGGCTTGTTGCTCGACGTGTGGGCCGCCCTCGTCGTGTTCATTACCTCTATCTTTAAACCCTCAGCGGCGAAGCAGGCTCGGCGCAAGCCGGCACCGCGGTCGTCGCGCTTTTACGGGGCTGGCGGTGGCGGTGGTGGTGGTGGAGGCGGTGGAGGAGGAGGAGGTGGTGGTGGGTCTGGAGGACCAAGTGCTTTCGGTACGTGCGCTACTTTTGTTTTGTTGTACCTGCCGTGTTCAGAAGATAGAAATTTGCTAACTGCTTCTGTGTTGCGGACTGGGCTTATACCGTATGCATATTTTTCGAGTTGCGCAGGTGGTATGGATACTTTGCCGAGCAGCGCCAATTCAACTTGCGCTTCGTGTTCGTAGTTGCGGGTTTAGCGATTTCGAGCGATACGCAAAGAGGATTTATGGACCAGTAGTTCACTATTCATGTGTGCAGCACCCTTGAGTTAAGCATTAAAGCCATTTTGTGCAGTTCATCAAGGACATGCTCGAGAAAAGACAGCAAACAATGAATCTAAGCTTCGGACATTTGCTGAAGTTCTCTACCCTGTTCCAACCGGGTGGAGCACGGCCAGTGAATCGCTTCGGGAAGTCGTATGGAACACGAACTGCGACGATGATATGTATTGAGATAGAGGCCCAGGCCTAAGGGAGTCGTTCCCACCAGCCACTGAGGTTTTTTTTTTGGCAGCTGTGTTTCCGTGTTGGAGAGGGAAGCGGCTTAGGCCGAGCTTTTGAAAGGACTGCGTAAAAGCTTTTACAATCGCAAACCTGAAGGCTGTGTTAAAAATGCAACCGGAAACCCAACTCTCTCGGAACTCCACTCGATGACAAGTCTTTCGGTGTATTCAAAACTGCTATCCCGATGTTCTGCAAGATGTGATGGCCCTCGCAAGTGCGAAAAGTAATTGTGTCAAAAATGATTTCGAAAATTTGCGGTTTCATATATAAAGTTTTGCAAAAAAGAAAAAAACTGGCCTCATGCCTCATAAAGGTTATTATGAGGTGAAACATTTGCCATCTAGACACCGAGTGCCAATGACGTTGGACGCTAGCTAGAACGGGTGAAGGAGGCGTGCAAGTGCTGAACAGAGCGACAGTTGTCTTGGGTGTTTGACGTGCAGGGCGTCTTAAGTTTTTAAATTTTAGTCTCAATGTACGGTATGTGTGTGGCTGGAATGGCTTTGATTTCGATGAAGTTTCTTCCAAAACGATATCAGCTGTGCCAAGTCCAGAACACTTAGAATCCTCGATACATGCTCTCCGTTCATATCACATCATGGAGCAAACCAAGCAACTTGCCCAGGGCCCCGACACTTAACTACCAGTAGTTGGGCCCGAAATGGCTTCGCAGCTGGGCTTTGCCTCTTTTTCCGCATTTTTCGTTCCGCTGTCAAGGCCGCGATGGATTGCTCCTCAGAAGTCCCCTCAGCGTAGAGCCCGCCGCCCTTCTCATTTCGCTGCCACAAACTTACTTTTCACCGGTTCAGGCGATGCATCTCCGCAGTTTGCGCCCGTCCTTATTCTCCCAGGTCTTGGAAATTCGAGTGCTGACTATGCGTCTTTGGCTTCAAGTCTCGCCGAGAGAGGGCACGCCGCGGTATCCATAGCTCCTGTCGCGAGATGGAAATGGAGTTTGAACGCAAGAGGATTCTTTATTTCTGACTACTGGAAAGGCACGCTTCGCCCTGACCAAGTTCTCAAGTGGTACTTTGGATGCGTTGATCTAGGACTGAGGGAGCTAGTCGAATCTGGAATGGATCTCTGCGGTATCAGTGTGGTCGGACATTCCGCTGGGGGCTGGCTTGGTCGCGCATATCTTGCCGAGTGTGCCCCAGCAGAGCTGCGTGTGTCTTCACTGGTTACGCTTGGGACACCGCACAAGGCACCGCCGACAGGACAGATGGATCAAACGAGAGGATTACTGAAATACATTGACAAGGAGTGCGGAATGTCAGACCTCGTCGACGACTTTGTTTGTGTGGCAGGGACTGGGACTATAGGGAAGCAGTTCGGGAATGGTTCAGTCGGCGAATATGTGGCGTACCTCAGTTATGCGGCTGTCAGTGGGGAAGGCAACGTAGACGGGGACGGGGTGACACCAGTGAATGCGGCGTGTGCACCAAGCGGGAGATTGGTGATATGTAACGATTGTGATCATTCGATGTTGACCAGTCGGCGATGGTACGGTGAGGGCGAGGCGTATCAAAAATGGGTCAGTAACCTACCGTAATTTGATACGTGGTGAGGTGAGGGGGCTCAGCTCTCGTTGTCCGTTGACCCAAGCACTGTTGCAACGGATGATGAGTTCTCAACAAGACTACATGTCATGGACTAACACAAGTAGTGCTTCCCTATTGAGGATGCGTCCAGAAAATTTATGGTACTATTTACCGCATGGACCGCGCTCGATAAGGTTGTCCAACTATATGGTTCATATATGGTGAAGCGTCTGGGTCACAGCCGCCCTGATTCTCGAAGCCTACGTTGGATGTCATAGAAAAACAAGGTGATTCCGAAGAGAGGCGAGATGATTAGGATGCGAGGACCGACCCCAGCGAAGAACCCGCGGGCACCCTCTGTTGCGTAGATGTGTCTCGCACAATGGGCAATGCCTGTATACCTCATTTTATCCGCGCCACCTGCGGCTGCGGTGCGCGCGGATGAGGAAAATTCACGCGATGTGGCCGTGGTGGTCGGGACTTTCGCTTGGCTTGGACGCATAGCATCTGCGAGACCCGGGGTGGAGGTCGGTTTCGAGGTGGCGACATTAGTGGCATCACCAGCGCTCGCTTGGAGTCTTGTCTTAATGACATCCATAGGTGTTGAAAGAGTGGCGGCGGTGGAGCCCGCAGCAATACCGGCAAGGAACACTTTTGCAATAGGAAGTCTACCATCAGAATCGGTGAGACGTTGACGAAGGGCAGCATTCATACTAAAAAAGACGATGGAGAAAGGGATATCACGGAAGAGGGTAGCGGGAGTACCCTTGTACAATCCAGCGAGACCGAGTTGGCGGATCATCTGGAGTGTATTCACAGCGCGACCTCTAGAGGCGGCGCTTTGCATGTTGATCATCATCATTTCCATCGGGTTTGTGGCAACGACTTGGCAGAAGCCCGCGCCGGCGCCTGCGAGCATGGAGTTTGGGATGGAAATTGTGCCGTCCTTGCGAACAAGGAGGGCAGTGAGGTAGTCGTTGACGGAGAGTTTGATTGCTTTTTCCGGGAAGACGCCTGTGAGGGCCGGTGGCAATCCTTTGTACAAACCGCGGATGGATTCATGTTGGATAATCTTTCTTGCGCAGTGAAGGATGGATTGGTAGCGACCTGGGTAGAGATGCAAGTTTGTTTTGATGGTATATAAAGGGAAGACACATGTTTGACCGATAACACCGGCGACCCCCCCAAACAATACATTGCTAATCAAGTTCTTGTTGTTAGATTGAGGGGAACTAGCAGATGGAGGATGAGCGGGGGATGTGCGGTCGGAAACCATTTGAAAGTTGACAAAGACCACTTCGTTATTTTGCGAGTTAGATGGATGAGGATTAATTGCAGATGCTTTGTTGAGGAGTGATAATTGGGGAAGGAAAGGGGCAGCGTCAGCAATGGGGCTCGCCGTCGGCCATCTACAGTGCAGGGTAGTGATCAGCAGGGGAAAAGAGGACCGACGAGAACCTGCGGTTGGCTATATTTAATTTTTCCGCCGAGTGGATATTGGTTGAAACGTCGTTTGCATATAGTGTGTTCCCAATAAAGTGCACACAAGTTACAATGCGACGAGCGGTGGTGAGGGCCCTAGGGGCAGGGTAGTGACATAACCGACAACGAAGCATTACTTCGCTCAGTGGACACGTGGGAGCCCTGGCCAGGGGTAGGGGCTCGGTTTGAGCTGTCCAGCGAGGCAAGTCCCAAGCAATTGTCAACGTGTCCTGTTGAGGTATGTAAGGCGGGATACACATTTAGTACATGCAGAGGCACTGTGGTTCCGGCGCTGTACGGTGCACGGTGCATACAATACCCTTGGTACAGTGCAGTATGAGTGAGGTGGCGCTTCTGAAACGCCAGCAATTCGCGGGGCCATGTGCTATGAATGCCTATGTTGGCAACAGCGTTGAAGTGATCTCCCTTGTAGTTTGCAAGCATAGGCAGGGCGCTACTGTAGTACTAGGTAACGGACGTGCCGCGGCGCCCACACGAGGCGTCGCGAGACCGAAACGAGACGATATTTTACAAAGTGGCACCACTGCGCGTGGTGGGAGCTTGCCGGGAAGGGGCCTTTGTCAACGAGCGTAGTGAGACGTGCCAATGCGCCACCTCTCTGCCATGAAAGTTCAGTCGGTATCGGCACGCTTTCTGCGACAGTTCCCATAGGAGCAGTCGTGCGCTGGCGTGCTTACATTTCAGGATTTTAAAAGCCGCAAAAAGATTTTCGAGTCTCATCAACGTTAGGAAATCTGCGAGCCCCGTGTTCATTCCTTACAGTACCCTTTGATTGCGAGTAAGTGTGGTTGCAAGTGAAAACACTTGGCGTTCTCTAAATGGACTGATATCCATCCACCGACGTAATGGTTCAAGAGCCAATTTATCCATATTTCTCCCCAATATCTCGGACTACGCAAGCCAGCCCCCCTCCCTGCCCCAGCTGCCAGCCCTATCGACGAGCTCTCATTCTTAAGGGATCAAGTCCACCCCAGGCTCTATTTCATGCTTGCCTTGCCCCGCCTCTCACAGCGCCTCAGACCTCTTTCTCTCATTGCAACCCCCTTTCGCTTGCCATCCATATTCACCATCTTCCCCAGTGTCGTCATCTCGTTTCAGATATCCCGCTTCACAGCTGTGTCCCGTTCGTCCGTTCTCCGGACGCTCAACTTACTTACCATCCTAACTTGCTCTTCACCCCCTTCCCCCCCCTTCCCGCCACCCTCCCCATTCAGACTCAAATGGCACCTCGTTTTCTCAATCTATTCTTCGTCCCTGGCCTCCACAGAATCAATGCCGCCCCCAGTGCACGCTCAATCCACCCCGTCCCCAACCCCAACGTCTTCTGCCCCTCCTCACGGCATGCTACCGTGAATCCCCCCAAACCAGCTCACAAGGCCCGTATTCGACATATCAACGTGCCCCGCGGCAGTCGCGCTGCGCCGAAATCCACCGTCGCCCCTTTGGCCGCCGCAGCCCCGCTCCGCTCCACTCTCCGAGGTACCCAGTCCGCTACCACCACCTTGTTGCCGACGGTTGACACACCCAAGGCTTCTGGCCACAAGCATACCGCCGAGTCGAAGCGCAAAATCTCGGCCGCGAATCGCGGCAACGTCCCATGGAACAAGGGTAGGAAACACTCAGAAGAGACAAAACGGAAGATTTCCGAGGGTACTAGGCGCGCCATGTTGCAACCGGCCATGCGGCGTCTCTTGAAAGAGCGCGCAAAGGGACGCAAGCACTCTGAGGCCACCAAGCTTAAGATTCGGGAGACGGCTCGTGCCTCAAGGGGAGCTAACTCTGCGATCCGTAAACAAAAAAGGCAGGCAGTTCCTTTCTCCTTTCCCGAATCCGTAATTGCAGATCTCAACGCAAAAGTCCAGCATCAGTTGGAGAAGTCTTACATACTAAGTGAGTCTCAGCATCTCGTAGTCAGAGAGAAACGCCCAATGGCAGAGGAGACGAAAGCCAAGCTCTCTGCAAAGATCAAGGAGCTTTGGAGTGATCCCGACTACCGCAGCAAAGTCGCGGAGGGTATAGAAAGCCGTGCGCAGCGCGTTGGGAGAACGAGGAGTCCACCGTCTTCCCCTCGGGCTTCAAGGGCCAGCTCCCCGCGTCCTGCAAAACCGAAGAAGGAACCCGGCTCACCAAAATCTTCCACGAGGAGATCGCGGTCCAAATCTCCAGAAGTTTCCACTGAAGACAAGAAGTCATCCTTCCACGACGACATCGATTCATCCGAAATCTTCCTTGAGCCTGAGTCTTTAGATGGCATAACGAAAGAAGATTTGGGACTTTTTGTACCTCTTTCGGAAGGTCAGATCAACGTTACTGCCGCCAAGGAGCAAGCCTTCGCCATTACTAGCAGAGCCAGTCCTGATGCTTTGTTTTCTGACATTTCGTTACAAGACCCCCACGGCTTGTTTGATTCTCCTGCCCACTCCGAAAGGGCCCTAGGATGTGAAAAATCCGATGTTATGGACTCCTTCAACGATGAGCACGGCTGTAGCAAGTTGGAGTCCGAGATTGCAATCAGGCAACCGTATTTGCTTGATCCAGCGCTACCACGCAGCTCTTTGGAAGACCTTGCCATATCAAGTACCGAGGCTGCGTATCCATACGAGGCGACGCGTCCTCAGTTCCTTGGCCCTCTTGATATGCCGTCTTTTTATGGGACTGTACCTCTCGCTGCTCTGGCGCCCTGTCCATCCATGGGGCAGTCGGTGTGTCCGGAACGGACCTCGCCAGAAATTCAATTCAATACGGATCTTGCACACTTTGAGGATCAAGTGATGAGCCATGAAGTTTGGGCAACCAGTGTGTCTGACGAATTATTTTGTAGTTCCGTCGAGAGCAATAGCAACAACACAGGGGCGTTCGACTCACTTGAGGAAGGGCATAGCTGCTGAGTTGTCACAATCAGCGAAGCACCAGGAGGTCACAATGTCCATATTTTGAAGTCCGGCTTGAGTTTTGCGGGGCATATCAATGACAACTGCGAGACCAACACGAGATGGGAGCGGGGCGGCGGTTGGATATTTCGGTTGTATATATATATCGGGGCTCTGGGTGTGGAGGGTCCCGAACTATTTCCGGTGGGGCATTCCGGTGGTTCACTCTTTGGCTTTCATGTTTGCCGTTTGAGAGCTGCAATGTGACGAATGACGAGGACCACAAGATGTCCACTTTTTGGACAACTAGCGATGTGCTTGTGGCAAAAGACAGCTGTAGCGAATGAGGATACGGCACTACTAGCATAGCCCAACACTTCGTGACTGTCTTTCAGATTGAACTAAACGCGATGACGCATTTTCGTAGCTCAAGCAGCCCACTAAGCTTTCATTTACTTATTCTAACTCTAAATCTACCACAATGTTCTAAATCACACAACAGGCAACTCTGTTATCGCTCTATAAAATGATTCCTTCCAAGACGACCACAAACGCCGCCAGCCTACGTTTACACAAGGAGCTGAAGCAAAGCACCAGATATCACCGCCATAATACATATTTGCGCAAATGGCACTCTAGAACTCTCGTTCACTTCATATCTTACATCATAAGCCGGTCTCGTCGCCATGTGGGCATCGCTGAGCTTATGGCGAGCCTCTGCCAGTTCTGATTTGAGCGTGTCAATGTCGCCCTTGCGCATATTGATGACGCGCACCAGCTCCCCTGCTCGCTCGACGGCAACGCGCTGCCTGGTGGAGCGATCGAGAGGCGGGGGAGACACCTTCGGCGCAGGGCGCACCCCCAACACTCGTTCCCTTGCCCACGCCACGGACTTGTAGTCAGGCTCCGATGCTTTCGCGACAGTTGCTTCTGTCGAAGCAGATTTGAGGGTTTTCGGAGTCGCTGTGGTTGGGGAGGAGGCGACGGGGCTCTGCGACGCGCCAGGGGGACTGAGGACTGGGGCAATAGGAGAGACGCCTGGCGGTGGTGCCGCGCTAGCGGTAGATAATGAGAGTCTGGGTGAGATGCGCAGGGCGGGGGAGAGAGGGGGCTTGGTGGGGGAATGTGGGGTATCTTTCTCGGTCGGTGGTAAGGCGTTCGCAGGAGTGTCAGACTTCATGAGGGGAGCACGAGACTCAGGCAAAGGGGGTTGTTGATGGGCTTCTGCAAGCTGAAGCTTGACATTAAAGCGGACCTTGCAAAAGAGGGATGTGGAGGCGTTCTTGAACAGGGCGGACAAATCCTTGCCATCAAAGACGTGCGAGAGAGAGTCATCAAGCTTGACGGCCTGGAGCAAGAAGCGATCGGCGCAAGAGTCGAGATCCTGCGGGACGTCTCCAGAGGCACCCTGCGTGAGGTCGACGGCGAGGGTGTCGCCAGGTTGGATGATGGCTGCGTTGGGACAGACGCAGT